ACACCTCACAAGAGTCCTTTCTGAAATTATTTCCTTATCGGTCTGTCAACGCAAGATGCCCGCAAGGCTAAATGACCGATAACTTGGACTTCAGAACAGACCTTTGATTCGAGGGGCCTCTTTAGAGTTAGTTCTCGCACTCGTGTTGCGTGAGGGAGATAAGCCCGCGCACCGCCAATTAGAGGACCTTCAGAGCCCTGGAAGAGCTTGTGAGACATCAGTAGTTGTTGGGGCTGCCAGAAGGCTCGCAAGAAGAAACTTGTGCGGACCAGCCAGCATATGGCAGCATCAGCACCTCTAGATGCACAGCATGGTCAGTCTATACCTGGTATACCTTCGCTGCCTGGCAAAAGGTTTCTGCTGGTGCTGTGGAGTTTGATGTCGGGCTCTCATCTTTGCAACTGGATGTTCAGAATGCTGCGCTGGTGACAGCTCCCACTTGTTCTTTGCCCAGGGTATATGGAGGAGGAGGCAAGAGTCCCAGCCTCGCGTGTGACGTGCAACCTCTGTTGCATGCGAGAGCTGCACCGGGCTGCTGAGGGATTCGCATGTCCCTGCGATGTTGAAAACCGTTCCTCCCTGGTTTCATTCTATCCCGCTTTCGCCCTGCCTGCCACAGTTTTCGTCCTCTGACGTATACAGCAGCCTTAACCCCTGTAGGCCCAGGTGAGGAGACTTGAGAAACTGCCGTCAGGCAAACTATGACGATGATGAGCCAGAGCCGCCAGCTCAACACTCTGCAGCTCACCTGTCGCCAAGGAACTGTGTCCAGTGCCGCGAACGTGAACTCCTCAACAGCATGATAGGAACTGCCTTGACAATGATTCGTACAGCTCCATTCTGGGATGCTCGGGTTCTGAACCTCTCAGACCTGAAAATGGCGACAACGAAGATGAGAAGCCGCAGGCAACGGGGTCGGGATGGCTGAAAGGTACGGTGTCCCTGCACATCTGTCGGGTAATCTTCGGCAATTGACGCTGGAACCTGGGTCGGAGAACGATGTTTCCGCCGAAAACCCATCTGAATTGCAGCAAGAGCCGTCCTGTCAGACGGGCGTTCCCGGCCGACGTATCGCAACACATCTCATGTGTTGCTGTGATCGGTGGCCAGTCTGCTGTGTAACCACTCGTGAGTCAAGGCGCCGAGCCCGTTGACAGTAGCATTCTCAATCCGCCACAACCGGTGCATCCGGGGATGTGATGTTCATGAGCTTTGTTAGTTGGGGTCCGGTGTATCTTCTCACTGTGGATGCGGAAGGCGTAAGGTTGCGCTTGGAGCCGAAACTCCATACTCACCGAGACGCAGGCCCAGCCAAAGGCGGCTGGCGCTGCCAAGAAGCGGCGACGCGGAAAGGGCAAAGCAAAGGCCCAGAGCCCCAAAGAGCAGGCCGTCCCGAGACAAAAGATGTGGATTTGCTTTTCCAAAGTAGCACGAGGTGTGGGATGGTTCGACGATCTTTTCATATGGTCTTGAGTTCATCTTGTAAGTGGTTGCCGGACGGCTCATGTGCAGTTGCCCCAGTACATATACACCTTGGGAAGAGCCAGGAAGAGCGCAAGGTGGTTGCGGACACCATTGCCTGTGGCTCAGACTTGAGGAATTCACCGTGGCAATGCCAGCATCGGGCATTGGGCACGGAGGAGCGAAAAAAGCAGGAAACGTACATGCAGTTCTTCGTGTTTCGCCTGGCGGCCAGCGAGGGTGTATTTCGCATGCAAAACTGTTCGGCTGCAACACAGTTCAATCGCTATTGTTCTACACATTTCTACACCCCCGGTCGGCATCAGTTCGGAGAAAGGCAACATAAGAAGCGAAGCGATTGCATCAGAACGGCCTTTCCTGCCACGACGCTGAATCTCAAACTGCTTGCATGCATCACCAGAAGCTACAGCATAAGAAAAACGTTCAGTCTGTAGGTAAGGGCTCAACGCGACATCTGCATCCAGGGGCGCTCCATCCTGACAGCGAAGATGAAAAAGACAAAGATGTGCGAGTTCCACAAGGAGGGAAGGCCCGGTCATCACATCCGCATGATGAGATGGTCTATGACTTTTTTGATATGCAGGAGGCCAAAATGAATTTGATCTTCTAGACGTCGCACCCTCCGCTTTCGCGGCAGGTGCAAATATGGTGCCGACTGCGCGTTTGCACATACAGAGCCGCCACCCGAGCCCGGCGAATCCAGCGCGGGTTTGCATGGCCTTCAGTGTGAGTCAGGCTTCGCATCTGGAAATCCACACGGCAAAGCCTCCAGTCGTTCTGCGAGCAGCAATTTAAGGTCGGAGTTGCAGCAGGCCCCAGACTTGCGAAAAACACGGCTTTGCCGCATGCCCAGCTGTCACTCCTCGCAGTGCTGTCGAAGGCAGCCGGTTTCTGTCATATAATTCTAGAGACGAGGAGCCGGCCAGATATAACTAGGGTTCTCGCAATTTGGCAAGTCTGTGACATGAAGTTGTAGGACCTGTCATGGAAACTGCAGTAGGGCCTTTCTCATGCTTGAGTCCTGAGAGGCCGAGCATTTTTGCAGGGGACGCCGCCTCAGAGCCTCGCAGAAGAGCGCAGGGAGGGCAGCATCCGATCCTTGTGGCGATTGCTGGCGACGTCTAGGAAGTGCAACGATTCCGACTGCAAGTTCGCACACGGCGAGGAGGAGCTGAGAGCCTGGCACCCGAGTGGAAAGCCACGAAAGATATTCGTGCCAGCTATACAGCACTGGTGCACAAATTGTGCAGGTTGCGCTAGGCAGGCAGTCTTTCACCCTCACGACCATGCTACAATGGTTCTTCAAAGTCTCAGTGCTGTGTCTGATTGTAGAATGGCTGGAGGTTGAATAGGAATGGCTGTGGTACACGAAGGATTTGTTTTGCATCTCACCGGCGAGCCTGGGATGGGACAGCTTTGTCTTGTTCTGAAGGCATCCAATATCTGTTTCAAGACCGTGGGGGCGCCCAGATGTGGCGTGCAAAAGCCAGTTCTGCTTCGCCGCGACAAAAATGCAGATACGTAAACAGCACAGATGCAGATGCAGACTGATACCACTGCAGCGTGCTGGTACCACTGCAGCGTGAATCCGAAAGAATGCAAGCTCTCGGCTAAGACATCTCAACTGTGAAGTTGAGTTATGCGTCACGTGCCCTGTGTCTCTCCTGCTTGTTTTTCTTCTCTCTTTCTTGCCGTCTTGCATTGTGTTTAGACCATGCTCCTGCCCAGTGCTGCACGATGGGCCATGTCATCGGGCCACGATCGTATTTCTGCTGGCTCTCTTGTGCCCGAGTCTCCTTCCCAAAATTTTTGCGGAACTCGCTCCTCAAGCTTTTTTCAGCCATACCTCAGACTCAGACGCTACCAATTCCGGCGCCCAGGCGCTGTGCACTTGGTTCGAGAAGGGCAACTGCCAAAGCGGTGCTCAGTGCCGCCGCCTCACATAAGTCGCAGCTCGTTGCTTGCTTATCTCGACGACTTCAGTCAGTTCTCTCTGGACCGCAATAGGCACCAGGCTGCGAAGACTTGTCATGAGCGCAGTGCTTCCAGTGGACACTAAGGCCGTTTTGCGCACGGAGCAAATGGCCTCAGATGTCGTTTGTTTCGTTTGCGACAAATGTGCTTCACGCTCTCGTCTGCGATGCACCGGATGCATGAACATGCATGCTGCTGAAGGTCGAGGAGCTTCGAGACGATCCGGATGCGAAGGTCCCCCCCTTTGTCCACTTGTTCTGTGTGAGCTGCGTAAGGAGGGTAGTCATCCCAACTGCCTGTGGCCATGCGGCGACGATGACCATGGGGGCGCTGAGTACTTGATTTGTGTTTGAATGTGAGCTGTGCATGAGCATCCATGCCAGCAGCCAGGCCGCCGTCGAGCTCGCGCCTCAGGGGCGACTCTGGCTCTGAAATCGCCGCATCGGGTTGGAATGTACGACAGTCTTGTCGAAAAGCGGGATCAACAAAGTTCACCGCAACAGAACAGGCTCCTGCACCTCGTCCTTCCCAGGAATGCCTCGTTCTGCTCAGAATTGTGCTGATAAGTGCAGAAGGCAAGCTTGATGCCTGATCAGGCAAGCACGGAAACGTCTTGCTGCCACGAGCTCAGCCCATTGGACTCTTCAAATCCCGAAACATGATAGTCAAAAGCTTAGTGCAGGAACTCGTAAGCCTCAGATGGGCTTTTTGGCCACTGCAATCATATGACATCCGCGGGTTACGGGTGATCACAGTTTCCTTGGCATCAAGACTTTCCATGCTGCCCGACATGCTTGGCTCGAGCCATGAAAGGGTAGGAGGAGAGGCAGCTCAGGGGAGTCCTTTTGGGCCCAAGCGGGTGGAGCTCTCTGCATTCAGCTACGTTATCGGTGTTTCAAAGGGGTCCGATGTTTGCTGCAGGAAGTTGCTGGACACTTCGGAATGCTTCGGACAAAGGGGCGGTTGTGTAGGGCTCTGCTCATGGTTTGGAGGGGAGCGCTGGCTCAATTCAGGGTTTGAGCTTGGCCATCTCAAGTTCATTCTGTGGAAGATTAATGCATGGCACAACGTTTCCGGGAGCCAGTTGGAAGTTGAAGACACTACCACCTCTGCAAACCAAAATCAGTCAAAGCTGCTTCTTGCTCACTGGTTAGAGCTTTCCAGACACACGAGTCCCTTTTTCCCAGGCTTCCAAACCCTGAGGCGCCAAACCCCCCACTCCAGTCGCCCGCCAATGAATGTGCAATCCTCGTACCAGCAAGCTGCTCTCAGAGTCGAAAGCCCCAAACTGCTTTGAACTCCCCCAAGACCCCAAACTCGAATCTTGGGCTTCTCTAGCCTGCCGGAATTGTAAACAATAATAATCGTAGTACTGATATCCATATCCCTTTCCTTTCCTCCTTCGGCGCAGGGATGTCGGAGCCCTCGAGGAAGCGCAAGGCCGAGGCGGAGCCTGCCGAGGCGAAGTCTCAAAAATACGTAGACACCTAAAAAGAGGGGGCCTTGATAATTACGAAGATTATTTTTGGGGGGGCTCCTTAGTATGAGTATAGTATGATATACCCCCAAAACCCTGTTCTAATCATTGAGGCCCCTAGATTAGATGCAGTCATAGTCAATCCGAGCCGTAGTATTGAAGTAACTGAAGACGGATGATGATCATGATGATGGCCATGGTGATGATGCGATTCACTCATTGTACCAGTCAGAATATCCATGGCAGGCGTAGTAAGTAGTATCTTCAGGGTCCGGGGAGTTGGATGCAAAAGGGGTGTTTGAGATTGAAATGAGGAGTTTTGGCGGGTCAGCTGCAGAAGACTATGCACCACGGCGAGTGATTCTCATTCAGGGCCACCGAAGGGTTGGCACAAACATCTTTAACATACATATATAGCCAAAAAATGCCAAAAAATATATGTGTGAATTCGCGGACTTTCAGAGCTTGTGGGTGTCATGCTGAGCATGGCACTGTCTGCGTGGCCTGACTCATTTTGGGATCCCTAGATTAAAAACAAAAGGGTGGCAAGTGGCAAGGTTGCGTTTTGAGTGAACGGTGCTGTAAATCAGCCTCCCGTTGCACATATCCATCTTAAGCGGGGTGTCCCGCAAGACCGGTGCCGAATTGGATCCCTACTCCGCGCGGCGTGATCAAAAAAGCCGTTCAGATGCCGGGTTCCGAACTGAGGACCTGGGGCTCGGTGGCCTTTACGACTTCCTTCCCCCTCCCGATCCAGAGAACGATAAGGCCCGTCGGTGATCGGTGGATCGCTGCTTGTTCCTGCTGCTGTATAGGCCTTCATAGTAACCTTGCCATTGTCGAAACCGCTGTGCAAAGCATTATTCCACAGTTTGTTCGCCACCGAAACGATAGCCTGTCTCCAGTTCTTGCTGGACGGCCAAGGCTACGGCTGCCAAGGCACGCAAAGCCGAGCAGCTACACCCTCAGCATCGGCGTGTGGGGACTATTTCACCGCCTGTTAGGGATCGTGTCTCCGGTCGTGTCTGGTTCGTTGGCTTCTACCGGGGCTGGCAATTACGAACAAGGAAACCTCGCAAAGCCGGTTCGAGCACTGCTCTCAGATGCACACGTGTAGGAAAGCTAGGGAACAAAACGGAGTACGAATCACACTTTTTCCGTTACTGGCACGAAGAACACGATGAGAGACAAGAAGGAAGCGACGGGTCATCAGGCAAACGGAAAGCCCACTTGATCGAACCGGGCCGGATCTCCCCAGCCCGAAAAGTTTACCAACCATGCCCTCAAGAAGGCCTTAGACTCTGCTGCAAATCCTGAGTTTCGAGGCTGAGCACGCGGCCGAAGCTTCCGCCCGTCGACAGGCCGGGGATACACAAACAATACTCGGTTGTGGGCGATATCGATTCTTGGGCCTTGACTGAGCGCTGAGCTGCACCCACGGCCCAAAACCCGCTGCCTTCCTCAGTTCATCCTCGGAGTGCAAGGTCAAGAGTAATATTCCTGGATGTCGACGGTGTCCTTCTCCCAGCTGGCAGCGTCGAAATGTGCGCCCTTGTACATGGGAGACAGGGAGGGGTAGAGAAAGCGAGCGGTTTTGTGCCTTGTAGACAAGAAAGAGAATGACAAAAGAGAGAAAGGGCTGGAAGTTTCCGGGTCACTGGGGCAGTTTCGTTATACACTTCCTACCTTGGCAAAGTCAAGAGGACTTGACAGATGTTCAATGCTTTGCATATCCAGAGAATCTCGAGATGCTTCGACAGTAAGAGCTGACCGTGTTGTCACAGCTTATCAGTTCCTGACCCGCAGGATATTCATTGATGGCGTCATGCTGCCTGTGCGGGCGGCAAAGGAAGCGGACTTCAACAGAATCTTGCCCCTAGTGCTTATGCCACGAGATGCAGGCAGAATCCGTGCCACATGACCCTGGCTAAGGAACTGCTCTGTCCAACCTGCGGGCGATAGTGCAGCAGTCAGCGCCCAAGCTTGCCAAGGCAAATGTTTAGGCTGCATTTTTGGCGACCGGTCAGTGAGGTCACAAGCGACGCGTCCAGCAGGTCCTCGCATAAAAGGTCGTTATCCCTTCGACTCCCAGTGTCGCGTAAACGGTCCGTCGTGGAAAAAAATCGAGAATCGGCTAAGTCATTGTGCGGTTTCGTCGGAGGACAGCCACTTCATCCAAGTAAACGGTTTGGAGATCCACCAAAAAGCAGAACTTCAGCGAAAGATCTGGAATCCCTGCAGCGAAATCCTGGACAGTTCCGCTTCCTCGCAGAGCAGCGCAGACTGCGCACACTTTTTTAAGGACCGGTGCTTCGATCGTTCTCTCCTCCGAGTGGCGACGGAAGGAGGCTCCGGGCCACAGAGCAACGCCCCAAAAAAAGACCCTAGAAGTAGTTTAGGGGTTTAGGATTTCCGCAGTGAAGCTGCTAGGGCTGCTTGCTCCAACTCCGGGCGAAGTGGAAAGCCTGTTGCAAAATTGGTACTTAGAAGCCTTAGAAGAAGAGGCGTGCGCTTCTGACCAGTGCGTAAAAAAAGCTGCAATAAAGAAAGCAGCATCAGTGAGGAAAATTCAGTTGTTTCCAACGCTGCATGTGCTCACGGTTCATTCACAAGTGCCAGGAAAGTTCAGTTGTTTTTTCCCAACTCTGCAGGTGCTCACGGGGTTGGCTCTTCGGGAGTTTCCAATAAACTGCCAGCGGCCCCTGGGAGGAGATGAGGGACAACATCCGAAGAACTCTTCAAGCCCAGGTGCCCTGGGACGCAGCCTTTTTTTCTGCTCATTCCACTTAGTGAAAGCGTCCCCTCCTTTCAGTGCTTGCGCATTGTGCCAGATGTCTTCTGGACAGTGCTTGCTAGCGGCGTTACAAGGTCCAGTGCTAGAGTGGTACATAATTCGCAAAACAGTCAAGCGCTGCAGGCCCATGCAAAGTCCTCATATTAATGCCTGCGCGACCCGATGTGCTAGCGTTGTTGCCCCACGCATCACAGCTCGATTAAGGATATTCCTGGCATTCAAGATTCTACGCCAATCTTCCAGCCCTCGGCCGAGCTGGTCAAGCAGAGGCTTGATCAGGCGCACTCGTCGTTTCAGGGTGGAGCCGAATGCAGAGGCAGTTGGGACCGTTTTTGCGGTAGCATCTGGCTGGCCCACTGCATGCACATGGCACAAGCACTTTGATTCTCAAGCTTGGCTGTGTGCAGGCGATCATTTGGGCCGAGCGCCGCGCACGAGAGATAGGCAGCTGGCTGAAGCAGCACAAAGATGTCAAGGCCGGCTTCGGAGCTTGACAACCCCAAGTGGAGAGAAGCAACGACGTGCATCTCCAGGAAGTTTCCGAGCTTGCTTTTAAGCTGGTGTTATGTCAGCCCCATTTAGCTGCTGTGACCTGACATGGCCTGGAAGGCTTGGGTGGCCATTGATGATATCGACTTTAGCTGGGCTGACAGCGTAAAGGTGTCGGGAACACCACTGATGAAGTGCGGGCCCTGGACCTACGACTGCACACACTGCGGCATCATGGCGAGCGGCGAAGTCACTTTTGCAGGGATCTTTGCATTCGAGCAACGGCCACGGAAATCCCCTGGCTAGTAAGTTCGATCTCGGTCTTGCAAGGATCGTTGAGTTGGTCTCGTTGCGGGAGTTTCGCAAAAGCTCTCGATGCCAGGCATCGCTCAGTCCTGACAAACCCGAAGTACTGCATAACTGAGAAGGACAGGGACATCCACTGCCGCATTTGCATGCGGGGATCCACTGCGCTGACTGCAAGGATGCCGAAGAGGCGGTTCGCATCCTCCTGAACCCTCCCGTCATCGCTCCAGGTGAGGAGGCAAGGCTTGGAAGTAGCAATTTGCTTCCATTCTTGCTCCATGAGAACTCTCTCATACAACTTTGTTCACGTGAAGGCTGATGCAATTGCCGCTGCTAGATATCTGACGGAGGAGGCACTAGCGAAATGCGCAGGGGCTGGACTGATGTGAGGCCGGCTTCATGCTGCAATAGCATAGCCCAGATCGCGGTCGTCGTGAACCCTGCACCACCAAAGGGAAGAAATGCATGTTCTTGTCGGCGAACATTGCATGAAGTGGTTGCGGACAAGACATCAGTTCGTCGTCGGGAGCCAAGTCGCAGCTCGAAGTTATCCGTGCCTAGGACCTGCGTTGCACAGCTGCCACTGCCTTTTAGTAGTTTAGCTACAACATGGAAGCATTTAGCTTGGCTCCATCTGCCCTGCGACCCAAGACCACGAAAAGACTCGCGGACATCGTCGGCGCAGTCCGACAAATCCAGAGTTTCGGATTTGGGACCTCTGCCAGAATCAAAGCACATCCTAATGCTGCGAGCTTCGGTAGTTACAGTCACCCCTGAACACGACTCGGAGTCACAGGGATGGTGTAGCTGCCAACACAGTCGTGTGCCCTGGCGCTGGCGACCATGTCAAGCCCAAGCCCGTAAGCTCAGAAGTAACTTGGCCAGGGTCCCATGTTATCGAAACTCTCTCCGCAGTGCCTTGACGGGAGCAAGACTCGACTATCACCGCCGCCAAGGATAAAGTAGAGCGCAGGGATGGTTTTTAGCCGGTGGGACTTTAATCGTGCGGAGGGAAGACTTGCAAGGTGACGGCGAGGACTTCTAGTTGCTTTCAGTTTGAGGTTTTTGCCGAACCAAGTCCGCAGAGCACGATGCTGGTTTGGGAGTTGGGATCAAAAACGAGCAGCACTTTCGAGACAGCAGGATATTGCATCGAAGGAAGCTCACAGGCCGATCACCGAAGGTTCTTCCGAGGGTCCCGTGTCGAAGTAGGTTCATGAGTGCTTCGCGGATGTCAAAGCAACGCGACAAATTAGATCAAGAGCTAAATCCAGTGCATCTTTGAGTCTTGGGACCATGCAGATGACGGAGATGTGCTTCGCATGCAAGCGTAGCTCTTCACGCGCCATAGAATGCTCACACGGCATCAACAGCTCGAGCCAAATGTTGTTCTATCGTCGGCCCGAGACATAAACCTTTCACCGCGAAGTGCAAGCAACATCAAGAAACTGCGATGGAATGCTTCTGTTGATGTCCGAAGGATAGCCTGCTAATGATCCAACACAGAAGCCTTGATATTCTCCGAGGCTTGACAAGCATCCAAAGACAAATCCTCAAAGCTTCACTTTTGACTGGAAGACTCTGGTTGAGTCTTCACCTCAACCCTCAAACACCTTTCCGAGTGTGAGCGCCGAAACCCTGCAGATTATAAACAACAATCCTACTGGGATTCAGCCGCGCGTCCGGGAACAGTCTCTTGGTCATGTTGGGTCCATAGTCCAGTAGGTCGACCCATCGAATCTACAATATCTACACTGGATGTACACTCAGGAGAGCTCCCAGGTCCAGATCTCAGAAAATGTTGAAATCCCGACAGGCAGTGAGGGTTCCTGGAGTAGACTGCGGATTGTTCGCACTCTCGGAGCGTCAAGCATGTTTGCATCGCACCCGAGGGTACTATCAGGAACCGTGTCACATGTATTCCTGGGCATCTCAAGCATGTCAACGGTTGAAGTGGTCAGCGAGCTCCAGATGGACTGAGATTAAGTGGTGCTGCAAGCGCCATATGCTGTTCAATCACCGTCCCTCGCTTCCTGAACTCTATTCAAAGGCTTGGCACATCCAGAGATGCACGCAGGAATTCGGTTTGTTCCATGCACCACTTCTCCAAACCCACTGCGACTTGTAAGATCCGCAGACGACTCCATCAGCCACGTTTCCCCTCGCAAAGCATGTGTGCTTTCAAGGACGACCGCTCCAATAAACGAGCACGGACTGAGTCCGCTGTTTGCTATCGCAAGGACCCAAGAAAACCTTTCATCTTTGCATTAAGGCGGCTTAAGAAAGTGTAATCAGTGCTAGAAGTAGATGCAGTCTTCTCGCGGTCACCGCCGAAGACTGCGAACACTCAGCCTGGATGTGGATGTATTGCTGAGGCTGTCATTCGACCATTGCGACATCCTTGGGCAGGAGCCCCGGCTAGCGCGCTGCGTTTGCAACATCTTGAACGCCACATGCACACCAGAACAGGCATGGTTGCTGCCTCCTTCCTCCCACCGAGTTCAAAAGGGGCACTTACATATCTCATCTGTCGGTCTGCCATGCAGTGAGACCGAGGTTACACCATTTGCGCCTTGTGCCGTTGCTGATCTGCGCTAGAAGCAAGTAGTCGTCTCAATGGGGCAGGGACCAGATCGAGAATGCTAGCAGAGCAAATGAGTCATAAGCTCTTGCAGTCTTAGGGCCTGGTGATGCCTGCACGACTCCACCATGGGCGAAATGCGCCATTTGTTCTGACAGCGCTTTCGGTAGTCGGACACGTCGAATGAAGGGCAGTACAAGGACCACTGAAGAATGAAGGCTTACCTCTCTTGAGAATCCTTGCCTCACAGCATGTGGAAACAGTGAAGCTGAGCTAGGCCTAGAGGATTCGCAAAAATACCCAGGTTGTTGCTGCATCTTTGATTCCCCGGACTGTCTCGGGCTATCTGCCTTGGGTCTTGCTCAGCAAATCTGACAATCGTCGCACTGCAGCGGGACAGGATCTTGCAATCTCGACTCGCAAAGAGAGCCCATCCCGGTACTGTTGCCGGCCCCTACCCGAGTCCCTCGGCTGCGTCGCGCATCACAATGGCTGACAACGCAGAGATCGCGGCCAGGGTGGAAAAGCACATCGCAAAAGGCCACGATAGCTTGCCGATCACCCCAGGCTGCTCGAAATATTGTTGGGGTGCAACAAGGACAGGCTTCGACTTGTGTGCAAACTGCCAGAGGCCATAGTCATCTTCTCAGGCCATCTACCGCAGCAGCCGTTTTAAATTTGAGACTGGTCTCGACATGTCGAGTCTGAAGGAGGTAGTCAACTTAGCATGCGAAATTTCGGAGGTTGACTCGAGCAATTGCAGGCAAGGCAGCAGATGAAAGGCAAAAATCGAATCATCCCGGGGCAACTTGAGCAGGGTAGAAAGATCCGAGCCGCTGCAGCCATGCTGGGCACCCCTCGCGAGCATCACGCGAAGACGCTGGGCCGACGAGTGCTAGTGGTGGAGAAGAGGATAGCTGTTGAATTGGGGCCCGGACACCAAGGAGCGAGGAATGGCAGGTGCTCGGCGGCAAAGCTGGGGGTGCACATGCCGAGATGATGATCAACACAGACGGTCCGCGGCCTGCAGTCTTGAAGCAGCAAGTCGACGAGACAACAGGAAGCAACATCTCACTTCCAGCTTGGCACTGAGTCGCCATGAAACATGTACCGTGTCATTCCCTTGCCCCTGCAGGTTCACGCATATTGAAGCCGTTGGATCAGGGGGCGAGGCCGCTGACACTTACGAATTGCTCAGGCAAAGTAGCAAGCTCAGACCCTCAACAGCCATGCCAGCCGAGTGCGAGTGTGTGAGTCGAAAACACGAGCATGCCGGTACAGAAGCGGGGCTCTAGGCAAATAGCTGGCAGTTGGGAACAGAAATCGGCGATGCCTTTTGCGATCAGTTGTCTCCCAGTGCGCGACTTGGGCTGTCGGCCATCTGCAGGGTTGCCGGTGGCATGGAGCATTTCCACGCAAGAATTCTGGCAGGTGTTCCAGCGAGATTGCAGCTTATCGAAGCCTTGCTTGTTCCGATGCTGCATAGCACTACCAGTCCACCAAGTTGCTAGCCAGAGGACGCAGCTCCTTGAAGGGCACATGCCGGATGTTGGCTTTGCAGCGGTAGGAGCTGCGGTCGTAGCATGTTGCATGCCCTGATGTGTTCCTTATACAGAAGATTTTTGAGCCAAAGGGCCTTGGCAAGTCAGCCTTCCGTTCTGAAGTGAAAGCCTAGAGAGTATACTGGATCAGCCGGGAAAGTCAGCTTCATGTTGCCGCCTCTCAGCAGTCAGACAACGATCGGCCCACAGCCAAAGGTTCGCCCCTGGCACCGTTTCTCTGCAGCTTCCACGGCACTCGGAAAGTTGAAGGTGCAGTCCCCTGGCCCGGCCTTGCGAGTTGTGCTGAAGCTTCCAGCGATTGAGTGGGAGTTTTTGTCGGATCTTCCGCCAAGGTGGTTTTTGCAGCATGATGTGTCTCCAGGTCCTTAGGGCACCGCGTGACATCCGAGGAGTACATGGAGCTGAACAGTGCCTACTTCGGCATGACAGGGCCCACCGCCACACTGGACATCAAGATAGGCAAGAAGACCTGGGAGGATCACTTGCACCTGAAGCTACCCTTGAGTTGCAAAGGCTGACAAACTGACAGTGGACGTAGGGACATAGGCGTGGAGGGGCAGAGTCGGGGTGACGGGATGTACCTTCCTGCTCTCCTCAAGGCCGATCAGAGGTCAAGTTGTTTTGACAGGACCAAGCAGACCCCGCCAAGATTGCGAAGGAGCGGCAACTTTGGAATTGGCAGCGGAGGGATTATCCACAGAATTGCGGGATTGGCAACTCATGTACCTGTCGTTACACATGTCAACCGTGGAGGCCATCGCACCCCAAGCCCGCAGCAGGAGTCCAAGAAGTTTGATGAGATCTATTCCGCAAGCAGCGCTATGGATGGCTTCAGAGTGGCAGGAATGAAGGTGCAGGGATTGCCACGCAAGCATTGGCCAGGTTAGACGGCAGATGTGGATGTCCCGGCTGAAGCCTACATTCTATCCCAATTAGCTACTATCTATGTACAATCAGCACAAGCAGTTTCTTGCTCAGTCGCCATCCAAGACCTGAAAAAGCTTGGTCGTCTTGCCAACGGCTGTGTTGTTTGTCAGTTTGGGAGGCGGGGGACCTGGTGCTAAACTCGACCAACTTGAAGGCCCGGGAAGGGAGTTCTGCGACCAGCAGTCATTGTGAGAGCTGCCAGTTCTCTGAAAATGTTTGCATGCCGGAGTCTTCATTCATTCGGCTGGCTTCTGCGCGGTGGCGGCGTGCACTTCATGAAAGCCTTTGGATTCCGAGCATGTCGGATCACAGCTTCGAGTCCTGTGTATATATATATATGTGTGTGTGTTCATGTATGTATGTAGTTATGTATGTATGTATGCATGCATGCATGTATGTATGTATGTAGGTAGTTATGTATGTATGCATGTATGTATGTATGTATGCATGTATGTTTATGTGTTTGTATATGTATATGTATATAGATCTCTCTCTCACTCTCTCGTTTCGGTTCCACGAGAAGTAGTACCGAAATGTGTAGCCACAGGAGAAGCAGGTCCGATACGTTGCGAGCTTTTGACGAGGCACGATTCAGCCTCAAAACGAAGGAGTTCGGAGACTGGCTGCTCCCCGCATTCCTGGCCTCAGCACCCGGCTTCGGATCCTTGGAGCATAATTGGAACGAGACAGAGAAGATGAGCATGGCCCCTGCGCACACATCGAGAAGTCTACCTAGAAGCGCCGAAACATACAACTCGCTCACATGCCAATCACCCTTAAGCCCACAGGTGTTGCCATGAGCTCACCGCACTTCGAGCGAACTCTGCAACATCGCCCCATAGGCCTCGTTCGTATCGCTCGAGTATTTTCTTCTCCGGCTTGCAGTGGAAGGACCTTTGCCCGAGGGCATGGCCGGCCTGTGCCGCCCAGATAGCCGAGGCCGTGATCTGGAACTCGAGACTAAGAATTGTCTTGGGGAGGTTCTGGCAAGCGGTCGTATTTTGACGTGGTTCTTTCCTCACAGCCTTTCGAAGTGCCCCCGGCATGTCCGGTGTTTGCAGGTTGCGAAGTTGACATGGGAGCGGCTGCGGAGATCCTCGGGAAGCTGAAAGCCATCAGCACGGCGGCAGAGCAGGGCTTCGGCGGAACTCTCAGAGCAGCCAGCCTTCTCCTAACTCGTGAAATGAGACATGGAGGCCGATGGCAAGTCCATCTGATAGATCTGGCACACTACACAGAGACTGCCGAGAAACGGGACGACAACTTCTGCGATGGCTTGCAGAATTTGATCCGCACATGGGAAGACTGGTGCGCGGTAGATGTGCCACAGTCCTGGTACAGTGTTTGCTGCATTACGCGGAAATGATCAGGGCAGGTTGGCGGCTTTTCTATCGTTTTCGTCTCCCATTGCTGCGTTATTTTTTGCCTTTTAACTTTTAAGCTTGCTGAGAGCGATGTGGGGCGCTCGAAGAGAGAGAAAGAGCTTGCAGCTTCTGCGGAGGTTGGGAGACTGGTACTGAGGTGGAGGCTTCTCGTCCTGTCTTGAAAGCTGGAACTGGGACCGTTGTCGTTCGGGCGGTGCGATACGAGGTTATCAAGCGGTCGACCCTGTCAAACTTGTAGTCTGAGCCTGTTGGCACGGCGCTCTTGCAGGCGGCCATAGGATCAAATCAAGCTTGGGCAGCCAGCTGGCTACAACAGCAAGGGTCTCCGGTTTATACAGTTGCAGCTAAAGCGCCAGATCCCTAAGCCCTGAAATTAGGCCATGCTTGACCAGCTTCAGTTCCTCCGTATAGAATGCAAACTCATTCGATTCGAAGGCCATCGCCCCAACACGATATTCAATAGTGTGACACAAATCGAACGAAAGCCGCACATGTCAAATCCTATCTCAAGAATGCCTGAAACCCCCAGGGCAAGCAGACACATTGCCATAATGTATCGAAATAATTGCAGTTCCCCAGCAGCATGACAGGGCTCTACAATCAGGGCTTGTGTGCGACGGCAGCGTGGGGAATAAGGCAAGCATGTGCAAGCCTTGACATCCCACATTGTTGCCCTTGACAGTGCGGGCGGCGGCACAGCCTGACTAATCATGCCCTTGACTCCAGTATGGCGTGGATCAACAATTTGCGACATGTCGGCCCGAGCACGGGAGGAGGAGTCGAAGTGCATCCCTGCGCCTTTTGGTTTTCCCATTCCAAATTAGTTATGGCGCGCTTGCTCAGCGCCCTTGCTACCGGCATGGGCTACTCGGCGGTGCAAGACGCCTTGCAGCCTTGTGTCTGCAGCATACGCCATGCAGTTTGATTCTGAGCATTTCCCCCTGTTGGTTTTTCACCGGCCGAGAACCTTAAGCCATTCTGATCCAGATAGCGAATGCTGCCATTTGTATTTGAGCCCTTTCGTGTTTCTTAGACCAGCTGAGCCATTCCAGGCCTGCTGACTGACAAGTATATGCTCGGTGCCACGAATTTTGTTGAGCACTACGCCATTGAATTCCACGCGACTGATGCGCAGAAGGACTGTGGTGCTTGCATTGTCCATGCACAACAGAGAGTCTAAGCTTGCAGGGCTCTGCGTAGGAGTGCTGGAGTCAACTGTTAGAGTTTCGGCACCCTTCTGACAAGCATGACATGGCCGTTTCCATGGCCAAACAATTCAAAGGATGGGTTTTATCGGCTGTCATCGAAAGCAGCCGGGTGCTGGCTTGGATGCAGGATTTTGTCAAAGCTGCCATGTATGGCGGGGCCATCCTTGGTATGCTCGTCATGGGTGGCATGGACACAAATTTATTCTGGCATCTGTCAAGTGTCGTCAAAGCTGCGCTTGGCGAAATTTCATCGCCTGCAAGACCGTGATGAGGTCCAGCTTCTGACTATATCGGTCGCCGCATGGGCCTCATCGGCTGTTCCATTATCACCCTTATTGGAATCTTGGCTCTGACCTGTCGGTCATGCCCGGACACCTGAGCTTGTGTCATGGTGCTGTGTTGTAGCTAATCTACCCAGGCCTTACACGGTAAGCAGCACGCAAGGCTTCATTGTCATAGGGAATGAGAGGACGTACCAAAGCGAACATCGACATCATCATCACCAATATCATCGTCATCATCGTCAGTAGTATTGGTGTTCAGAATCAAGAAGAACACACGACAGAACATAACAGCGCGGTTCATCCGAAGAATAAAATATACAAAGATACCGCAGAAGAATATCAAGCTGCCCCAGTCCCAGTATTCGGAATCCAGCCGAGGCGCCTTGCTTTCAGCTCTTGCCTGGAGTGAGAATGCCCTTATTGTAGCGCGCCACCTGGCAGGAGACGGCTTCAGCCCGAGTTAAGTATACTTAAGTATACTCGTAGTCGCAGCAGCGGCGTCAGAGGCTGAATGCTGGCTGCGATACTCAATGTATCTCACCGCGAGCGCTCGAGAGGGCAGAGATGCTTGCGCTCGTAGTCAAGCCCAAACTCTGAAACTTCGACCCTAGACCTCGAACCTCAGTCCCCGAAGCCAAATCCTGGCCCTGGCACCAAGAGTCCTGCTCATCCCCAATACTAGAGAGCGGTGACTCGTGAACCCTAGACCCTGGCAAGTGCGAAGGGCTAAGAGGGTTGACTTTTCTCCTTGGCTTTGCGATGCAGTGAGCGCACGGTTTTGCTGTCGGGGGACTTGCTTCACATGAAGTGTCGTAGTTTGACTGACTTGCCAGCGGTTGCTTCTTCTAACGCGACGTAATTGCCGAATTTGCAGCACCCAACGACGACAAGAGAGACTCTACAGCAAATGTGGCCGCCTCCACCGAAGCACGGGCTGGCATCATGAAGCAAGCCAGCACAAGTTTGACTTGCCCGGCTGTGCCCAGGCATCATTACTGGCATTGGCATGGGGGGTGAGTACCCACTGGCCTCATCACATTCGGCTGAGTCATCAGAGAAGACCAGTGGCCTCTTTGCAACGAGTCTATCCGCCTGGGCAACCGGGAAAGGTGCAGTGGGCAGCCCGGTAGATTTGCCCCAGCAAAAATCCAAAAGACAGCGCGGTATTTAGTCACATCGAAGGCGAAGGCGACTTTGGGCTAGAGACATTCATTTGACACCAATTTCGTCCGGGAGCTTTTAAATTCGGCCCTGGCCCTGCCCATCAGGTTGTAAGATAGAGCGGGAGCCTGCAGAAACCCTGTGGTAGGCTTGGCTCCTTGTGGGCGCGTGTGGTCGGGAACGTGCCCAGCCCATCCCAACCCCTCATTACCGAGGCGACGGTGCCCGCAACGTGGCCTTGCTTTACCTGTTCGGAAGCGGCTTTGGCCAAGCACTCTGCCCGATGGTGACCTACATAATGGATGCTGCTTGATTGCAGTGCATTCTTGGCGAGGGTCACAGAATGTCATCTGCAAACCTGGATTGCCCGGGCGACAGGCTGCCCGCCGCCCCTCCCCTATGAGCTTATGCGAGACTAACAGAAACCCCGGACCTGAAACAGCGCGGTGCACGAGAAGTCGTTTTCTCATTCCTCCCTGGAGGTCGCCGGCGTCCCGCATGAGATGTTGTGGCGGTGGATCTTCGGAGCCCAGACTGCGACATTTCTAGCTGCTCTTGTCAGTTTTCCCTCCTTGCAAGGACTGGCCTGCTAAGTATTGTGGTTCCTGTTCTTCGTGCGGACATTGGAACTTCAGAAGGTCAAGTTGCAAGATATCTAGCAAGAAGAGAAGTTTGCCCAAGCCTTCTTTAAACACGCGTCCTGAGGCTGAGGCGCTTCTTCGCTTTGTTTGGCTGACTTTTCCCAAGCCTCGGTCTGGTTGTTGAAGGCCTGAGCGAATGAAGCTCAAGAGGCACGCAAAGCTCGAGCTTCCAAGTGCGCTTGGTGCGTTAATCTCAAGCATCACTTGGGAGGACGGAATGCCTCAATAATCGAAGCCTCCCCGGTCCCAGGAGTGGGTGTCATTCTTTCGGCCTTGGGCTTGGTTTTGCGATACCTGACCATCCAGGAGAGCAAAGGGCGTTTGTGTGAGCAAGCTTCCAAGCCGCTTGGTTTTAGGATAGGTCGGGGAGCAGGAGGAGCTGCAATTGCGCATGTGCGGTGAGTGCTACCTGCGAGGACAGCCTGAAGTTCGTGCAATCAAAGGAGGCTGCACACATGCGGCAGGGTTGTGGGTGCGCGGCTAGAACCAGCGACAGCTGACCAATCATCGCCTCTGCTGGGTTTTGGAGATTGAAACGAAAAAAGGTCGTTCCAAGCCCTGCATGCAGCGCAGACAAGATCTTTCGAAGGCAGAAGAGAAGCATCACGACACCACCTGGACCATCCTATCACCATACTGGAGGCCTGCATGCAGCTGTCGTCTCTGGATTCAGATACGGGTTGAGGTTTTTATTCATGAACCAGGCCAGACTGGCTCAATGTCACGGCCTGCCAGGGCGATCTTGGGCACTGCCGGATGCTGGTTCCTCTTTGACACTGTCGAGTACGGCTGCCTGGGCTCATGCTAGTGCTGCTTGGTGCTTGCACGCTGCTCTGTGATGCTTGCCTACACATTTCTCCACGGTCTGTGTGAGATCCGTTTGAGCAGCTCGTATTAGCGCTAGGTCTGAAGCAGAACGATGCGGCGATTTTCAGCTCGGACGGCAGTGGCCCCTACACGGATAGTATTCTTGAGGTGCCCAGGCTTCTGTTCGGCCTCTGGTGAGTTTTGGCTATGGCTCGATGAGGCTTGCACCAGCCCGAATTAAAACGAAGAGGGCCCTTTCCGGCACAGCAGCCTGTGGAGTGGGAATGCCGAGACTTTGCAAAAGCCTCTACTTGAGAGCAGTAGAGGGCCTGCACTGCACTGCAAGCCTCGATGCGGAAGCCCAAGACCCGATGAATGTAGCTCGCAACTGTGCGTTCCCCTTCGCTCTCTTTTGGCGATGTTCCAGGCGCTTCATTGTTGGCCTTACACAAAGCAAGCTTCTTGAAGAGTAAGGTGTTGTGGAGTCGCCTTCTCGTGATCCCATCGCCACTCGTACAAGCAAGCAGGTAGGCGGTCCAAATCTTCAAACACGAATGATCAGCTGAGGTTGATATTTGCCCCATGGTTTCTGACGAAGGCGTCGGTTGCCAGCACTCACAACCCTCCATGTATTTGCTGGAGGTGGTGCAAGCTCAGGGTTCATTCTCCAAAACTGTGAACCGAAGGCATGTCAAAGCTGGATTGGTGCAATTTCCAGTCGAGACCTTGCTTTGTTCACTGCATAGGCATAGACCCCCTCCAGTACATCCGCAACTGTCCCAAACCCCCCTGTTTTGCCGCCTCCCGACTCAGACCTCCAGCAAACGTGTCCAATTTGTCGGTTTCCTTGGATGTGCGATTGCCAACCTCATCCTGGCAG